TACAAGAATAAATTAAAATTCAAGATTCAATAGCATACAGTAAAATTCTTTTAAATTAGTCAACACTGATTTCAATAAAGTGATGCTAGAGTTGAAAGGAAGAGAGCAATATGAAAAAGTTTGGAGGCTTTAGTTTTCAACCATTAACTTCACCTTTATTTTATAACACTAAGAGGCAAACACAATAGCTCCCAAATATTCCTGTATAACAACTCAGTACCTTGACTCTAGCAATCAACTAATTAACCACCTAATAATCAGCCTGGTAGTTTTTAAGGAAAATCTGAATTCTTGAGTATTCAAAATTGATACCATGTCATGAATGCGTTTGCATTACATACCCTAGCTATTTCAAGAGTACAATTCCCTTATTTCCTTTCAGTTTCACCTTAATCATAAAGGCCTCTCTTCTATTTTGGACACCAATTCCCTTCTACTTTTGATACAATATCACAGAGACCTTAGCTATTTTAAGAGTGCAATTCCTTATTTCCTTTCAGTTTCACCTTAATCATAGAGGCTTCTCTTCTATTTTGGAAACCAACATTATAGTTCAACCTATTAACACCATTACGAATATTCCTAAGAGATTATAAAAACTAAATAAGTTCATACATGATATTCTCTTAACCAACATCTACTAAATAAATAAGTTCATGTAGATTTTCAAAATAGAAAAAGAGATCTTTGTAACGAGAGTAAAATAGAGGAAAAGTCAATGTATTGACTATTATTTTAATTATTACAATCCTTGATTATTTATACTATATCATGACTACGAAATTGATACAACATTTACATCACAGTATGTCAATAATATAGAAATTTCAAAATGAGAAAGAATGCACAATACCTTGCTTCGTGCCAAGCTTCCCCAAACAGTAGATAATCCAGGATATACTGGTGGTTGACGACCACCAAAGTCATCAAACGCATAATCAACATAATTGACTAAAAAATGATTTCTTTCAGCATCGTCAACTGACTCCTGCTGCACCCTGCAAAATACGCTTATACATATTACACTGCCAGCCAACCAATCAAGTAACGTCCAAGCACTCATTAGTCATCATCATTCTCCTAAATCCAGTGCTTATAGTCTTTTCATTTTCTTGTTTTGATGGGAAGCAAATAAATGAAATGTAGTTGGAAATACAAAAAAAAAAAGCAAACGATTGACTAAAATCATATCATGCCAAGATGGCTTTGACGAAGTACATGTGGCATGCAGGACTCCCCAGTCAGGGCTATGCCCAAAACAACACAGAAGAAACAGATTCCCCCAACTTGACCAGTTCTCAAATGATGGAAGAGTATGACAGGTTAGCAATTTAGCATGAGTATGCAAGAATCAATAGCTAGTCTTGCTACGGGCAACTCCAAGGAATTACGAAGACAACACATTTAGACTTCCAAAAATATCCCCTCTGGATGTTTTCCGGATAAGTTTCTTCTTAAAAAATAAAAAGAAACAATTAGAAGCAGACCACATTTTGAAGCTTTTCATACTTCTCTAAGAAAAGATGTGTTGCCATGTATTATCTTAGGCACAAAATATGAAATGTAAAAATATCTATATTCCAAATGAACAATCTACTTAAAGAAGGTGCATGTGAGGATTCAGAGGGAACGAAAAAACCCAGAGGGGAAAAGGAAAGGAAAAAAATAAAAAGACAAACCTGGTAACAATGTTAACCATGGCCCTGAAAGCTGCAACCTGCAGCACCAGTGAAAAGGTGAATGTAGCAAAAGTAGAAAGCCACTGATGCAAACGAAAAGAGGGTAGAGAGAGCTGGACCCCAAAGTACAATTCTAATACTAAAAGGGGAAAGAGTAACAACAGTAAATAAGTCAACCTGGAGTGTTTCTCCACCATTGCCTATGAGATGAAGCAGCATATTCAGAATTGGGTGAAGAAACTGAAGTAAAGCAGTGGAATCAACATTCTTCAAGCTATTAATAGCCTGCAGTCAAGAATAACTAAATATCAACCAGGTCGTCCAGTAACAGATACCGCACCACACATCTAAAAGACTAGGTGCACATTAAATAAACAGCTAGCGCTGAAAATGATTAGTAAACTGTAAGCATATGTATATAGAACGTAAATATCCTCCCCAAAAGTTTAAAAAAGAGTTTGCTAAAACACAAACTTCCAAAAATGCTGCTGATATCTGTGCCGTAAATATCTTATTAGGGGTAACTCAGTGTAATATAAATACTTACGGGTTAGGTATAGTAGGTAGTTACAAGTCAGTTAGGATATAGCCATTAGTCATCTACTGTAGAACCTATGTTGAACCTCTAATAACAGTGCATATTCACTCTATAGCTCACTCTCTCTTCCTGTGTTTCCCTCTCCTCTCTCTTTTTGCCTCTCTTTTCCCTCATCTTCATCTTTTCTTCCACAACTCTATACCAGCTGCCCTCCTTTGTTTACACATAACTTGCTTGTCCAAATAACATCTAATATTTTAAGATAAAAGAGCTTCCACTAGATGCAGTTAGTAAACAATAAAGGAGCACAACATGAAAACCAATAAAACAAGAACACACATAGATAACAATAAACACAAGCCTTCTGGCTCCTCTGCATGTCCACTAAGGAACTCCATCAAAACTAGCCACACAACCATCATCAAAGTCAAGGTATATAGATAACGTTATCATAGCAAGTCTATGAACAAAAGTTTCCCTTCAAGAGTATTTTTATGAGTACAGAAGCAAAGGAAATGAAGGATCAAATGATGATTTTCCAACATATTTGGATATTTAAAATGAACGAAGGAAAGGAAAAGGTGGTACATGAAAAAAAATGATCGATATAAAATATCTTTGCAACTTGACACGTTGATTTATGAAATTTAAATGAATTACGTATTTTTAATATTATTAATACACATTTCAAAATAGCAAATCCTTCTTTCTCCCTTCAATATATAATTGTTTCATGATATAAGAAACAAATTTTCATAATGAGACGTCTTTATTTTAGATCATACAATTAATTGGACCAAATTCTCTCTCATTACAAGGGATGGATTGGATACACTTGGCAAACAAAATCAATATATCAATCAGCATCAGCAATATATTTTATAGCAAGACACACTATTCATAAGCCATGCATGATGTAAGCTACTTCACAGTTCCATGCTAAGCATGGGTCCCACAATCTAGTTAGGAAAATTTCTTTTATGATTAGGATAGTCACAAACTCATGGATACGAACCACCCTCTAAAAAGATTTATATGAAGTGTAATATAGTCATTGAAACTTTTCCACATCAATATTTCATTTCTTTCTTGCTTGATGATCATATTCAGAACTTCCATAAACTAGGGCGTTCTGCACATTTTAAGTGTGTTTTTTCAACAGGAAATCGCAGAACTTCTGTAAACTAGAGCATACAGGACATTCTGACGTTTTTCCAAGAAGAAATCAATGACCTGTAAACAAACCAGATGAATAATTGTACCAATTGATCCCCACCTAAACCGATCAGGCATTAGTACAGCACGCTAAGATAGATAAGGTCATATTTCTGAAATTCATCCAACTAAACATTGACCAAGCCAGGAAGATTTTAAAATCATACGAGTCTATTAAGCTGAGACAACATGAAAACTCATAATCTTACTGATGTCAAATTCAAAGTGTGATAGACCGCATATCTACACTATAACATCTCTGGTAACAGGCCCAACTTTAAAAAAAAAAAAAAAAAAAAAGCGACACTAATTTGCTAAATCAAGTGGGGGGAAATGTAAGAAGAATGGAATCATTTAATCCAGGAATGAACAATCAACATAATCAATAAACAAGATACAAATGAATACAAAATAAAGCTAAACAAGAATGATACCTCCAGAAGTTCAGAACCCCAAGGTGGGCTTGTTCGAAGCGTGTGTCTATCATATTCAAGAAAGAAATCCCTAATGCGTTCATTGACAGGGTATAAAGATGAGCAAAGCCTTAAACGTAATTTGAAGACATTTTTTCCATCTTCCAAATAATCCAATCTCTCCTATCAGAAAACCAAAAAAAATAAAAGATCAATGACTGAAATTCAAGTTTAACAATTGAAACTAATCCAAAGCCACAGGCCTACTTAAAAAGTATAAAATAGCCATTAATCACAACATCAGATGAAGGTCAAATTTCATAATAAAAACCAGACAAAACAGTCTTGTTACCTCAGGAATGTGTGAAGCAACTGATAATGAGAAAATTTTGGAAATATAGACAGCAAGGTTCCAGAAAGAAATCTACTGATTGATGCATATATGATATGTGTGTTGATGCATATGAGCCAAAAAAAATCTTCTCGTGTCCCAGAAAAACACAGAAAGTAGCATTATTTCAACATCCCAGCCAGTGTAATTCAGAGCAACTAGAAAGAGAGAGAGAGCGCCAACAAAGAGAGGAACAAGCAAAAATGAGAGGGAGACAAAAAGGCGAACACATAGGACATGAATGATGATTGTCAGGTAATAAAGGTAGCACAACACTGAAATGATAGACATACCCTTCCTGTATCCTGGAGATAATGGGGAATCAGCTCTTTCATAATTGATAGAGATATTTCAGATCGCAGCCTGTATAAAACCCCAACAAGTTCAGTTTCCATATGCCAACTTAAAAGCCTATGTATTGGAGGCCTAAGAAAAACATCCTACTATACAAATGGCCAATTGCAGAATTTAGGTCAAAACCAATTGATCATATTCTGTTGTTAGAAGAAGAAAGAGGAAATGCAAGGAGGATCATAGGGAAAATATTAAATTTTGGAGAGAAACCAAAATCAGAAAGGTAGGCATAATAATGATAGAAAATGCTATTTGTATCAATGCAGTATATATTGACGATATGTTACATCAGAAGAAAAACTTTCGCATAGTATATACAATTAGGTACTTCACAGTCTTGCACTCAAAATTCTTATCAGTGAACTTAGCTTCTCCCGGTAATCAACCTCAAGTTTTCTTAAATATCATTTGTTGAGCTTCAATTAGGGAACAAATGAACTCACACATAAAAGTCAGATTTAGTAAATCAAGGTAAGTGGACTCATTTACTCACATTGACAGTGACACTTCAAAAAATGAGAGTGTGTTTTCACGTGTGTGTGTGTCTCAAGTTCCAGTTTATGATCGACTAGGCCAAAACACAACAAAATGTTAGGAGCATAAGATCATGTAAATCTTTGAAATCAGTCAGAGGTAACATTTAAGACGCAAACTTCATACAGCATTATGCATTATTTCACCATAATGCCACCCACAAACTCACTAAATCGCCATTAACAAGACTTGGGGCCGCAAAAATTAATAAACTTTGAAGTCTAAACATGGGCAGAAGATCAGAATTATCAAAAGTAAGCCACATACTGAGCATGTGAAGATAACGGAAGTGCCGCATATCCAATCACCACCTAGAAAAGATTCACCACAGCAATCAATTACAGCATCAGAGTAAATAAATCATGCCACAGAGTTCATGAATGAAACAAGCAGTAAAGCAAGATGCATAATAAAACTTACTGGTTTTGGAGCTTCTAATTTTGTCTGCAGATCAACATGAAAGAAAGTAAATAAAAGGTGGTGTGTTGGTGTCCACATAGCAGGGAGGGAAAGTTTGATTTCATCATGGTAACAAGCCATTCTAGCCCCAGCAGCAACTTGGGTGTGAGCCCACTTCTGTAGCGGAGCACCAGGATCCCTAGGATACATTGCCTGGGCAGATTAGTCACACACAAGAAACAAGTCAGATCAGAGCTAAGAAAATATGGCATAATAACAAGACTAAGAAACAAAATGAAAAACATTACCTCCAATGGCTGTTTACGAAGATCACCATCATCCTCTCTAAGTTCAACCCGTATGAACAAATTTTTCTTCCTACCCAAACTTACAGTCAACGGATACACATACAGACAGTGAAACAGTTGCAAAAAAGGCTCGTTTCTCGTTGTAGTGCGAAAGTCAAAAGCATGGAACTATAAGTCAATCATATAGAGCGCATTAGAAAAAACACGGCATACCCAAATGAAATCATATCAGATATGTCAGCTAAAAAGCCATATCAAGCACCACTTTCTTAGCCAAGTAATAAATATACTTCCAGGATTCAAGAGCCCCTCAAGTGGCTAATAAGTGGCATTTTCATATTCATGACTCTCAACTCCCCTATGCATGGCAGACAAATACATTTGGGTGTGAATTTCCATCAGCAAATCTTACTTTACCTTGAGAAATGAACTTTAGCCTATGATTTGTCCGATTTTACATAATTCCACAATGTAAAACACTTTTATGTGAGGAAGAGTTACAGATTACTATTAGCAACTGTGTTCTCATTATTCACTCATATACGATACAAACCATAATAACACTATAGAATCATAATCTGGATCATGTGCTCTCAATATCTACAATTATCCTTGTATAGAATCTAAAGAAGACACAGGCTGAAATTCAGTCAAGAATATGATGCGCCTGAGAGACTTGATAGTAACTGTACAGAAGAAAACTAATTATCACAATATTAAGGCAATTATAGACTGCAACTTGATCAAGATCCATCTATACTTACATCATCAGAATTAAAATCTGGATTCCCATGTATATTTGTTCCATTTCCAGAGGCTTCTTTCCCATCATGGGAATTCCATTTCGAGATACTACCCTGAGGATCATCAAAACCATCACTAGGGTGTTTTCCAGATGAAGACTCTGCAATATGATCGCTTGGGTCCACAGAGTCATTGGTACCAATTTCTGACATGTTTTCCATTTCAGCTTGGGAAATCTGGTGCTTCTCTATTTCCAGTCTCAAAACACCTTTAACAGGTTTATGCACTTTACGTTTGGGGTCCTAAACATTTGTTAAGAAAAACCAATCACCGAAACGAGAAATTTAGAGGAAACCAAAAAGTATTAGAGGAAATCATTATAGTCATGTATTACAACATAATTATTTAATCATTATAGAGCATTGAACAGGTCTTCTAATGACAAGAGAAACAATATACTTCATATAATTCTACAAATTCATTAACAAACGTTTAGTGACCAACTTCAGCCAGAATTAGTAATTAATTTCGTCACTTAGAGTAGAAACAAAGTCTCCATCAATGAAACCTGAAGCATGTGATAGGCAACTCACCAGAAGTGATTCCTCAGTGTAGCTTTCTTTGACTTTGTCTAAGTTTGAAATCTCAACCATGACAGAATTTACACTCGAATAACCCAGCTTTCCATCTAGAGAGATTTTTGCACTAGTCTCAAAAACACCTTCATGGGAACTTGAACCAGAAACACTTGGAGCAAGAGGGCTGCTTGGGGAAGCAGGCCCTACCGAAGCTGCACCAGCATTGTTATCAAATAATGATACCATGGCCCATGCGAAGGACTCTTTGTAAGGCATGATTTGAGACCACACCTGCAATTTTTGCTTCTCTCTATCAGTCAAGTGACCCTGTCCATATGGATTGAAAGTTAGAACCAAAACAAATTTTCAGAAGATACAACATTGTATGCGGGGTACCAAAGCTGGGAATCCCCAAGAACTAATATTCACAGGCATCCTCAATCAGCAAGGCACCATTCAGTGGATATCATTTATTTCTAAGAAATTATTCAAGTCTAAATGCAACTTCCATAAGCTATCCTATTTCCTTTTCTTTTGTTAAAAACAGCCGTCAGGAAAGAGTACATCTCATCATTCAACAATTTGCAAAAGAAGTAGTACATAAACCATGCAACTTCAAGTTAACACTTTTCTTACCCTGTTCAAGACCTCAAGTCTTCTTTTTCTATCTTCGTGAAGAATTAAAAAATACGTAGTTAATGAAGTGTTTAGTGTAGGAAGAGAATACGTATAATAGCTTATATCAATTTATAATTTATAATTTATGATGTATCAAAGGTATGTTTATCAGAAAATCAGGACATATAAGTGTAAATCTTACCCCCACAATAGTGTTTTATCACAACCATTTTAGCTGTTGAGTCATTACAGATATTTGATGTTTAAGTTCACTTGAAGTTGTTCAGGCTGCCTATGAATAGGCCTACTGCCAGATTTACGAAATTCTTCCTAATGAATTATTATTGAACTTTAAGTGTCGTTGACTTTTTTTTTAAAAAAATGTATTCTCCCTATTTCTTTGCTCTACTGCATCCATAACATGCTGATTCAAGGGGGCACTAAAGTCCACGCTAATCAAGAAAAACAGGAAAAGCAGCTCAAAAGTCCAGGCTAAATAAGAAGACTAGAATAACAAATGTGCTCAGGGAAGAAAGGAGTGAGCACATACTGATTCTTTTCGTGAATAAACAGATGAAGTGACCCCGCCTTCTTCTGTAGCATGTCTCTCCAACTGGATTAGCAAACAAACTGATGCTGATGGAGCATCTAGATAGAAAACCCCATGACGTCCATATGAACTCTTGGTCTGCAAATGGTAAGAAAGAAAATGGTCATCCCCCTATCAAAATAACCAGTTTACTTTATGAAAATTATTTGTACACAAAGTTAGAAATGGTAAGTATAACATAGCTTACATCCTGCATTTCTGTCGGTAGGACACGAAAGTAAAAGTCTTCTGACAATTTTTCTCTTCTCTCCCTATTGTATAAGCTAATTGTACCATAAAAGGGCTCTACAAGACGGAGCATAAGTTAGAAACTTCGAATCTGTTTTCCGTAAGAAATACTGCGAGGTAGCACTGTAGCAGTACAATAAGCATGCAATTTATCTAGTTATCCCACCAATATCAAGAGCATAATAATACTCACCAACTAATCCCACTTGAAATTGTAAAGACTGGACTTTTATTGAAATTTTCATTCCACTGAGATGCACAGCAAAAGAGACGGGGCAAAACAAAAATCGGTCAGATCATGAAAAAGTTAACCAAAACATTGTGAAAATATTCCATTTGTGAGCCTGTCATACTGTGATATGGGAGTTTCTGGTATCCGTTGTCCAAGTATCAACGACCTCTCATTTTCCCAATCAAATGCTGGCTCATAAGCTGGAAGGGGAGATTGACCAAAGTGCTGCATATCAAGTATCAAATGAACACCGTCAATGTTGATTTTGATTTCAATAGAAGATGAGCCCCAAAGTCTAAAGTAGTCCAGAGCCATAATTATTCAACAGAATTATAGCAGGAGCTAAACCATGACAACCTTGGGAACACCTGAAGGCTGTGTGTCAGCATCCGCAGCTTCCATGAACTGCCTTCCTGACGTACTTGGAATGTCATCTTCAGTAATATCTTCGGCCTTGGCTCGCCTTGCACCAGCAAGACACATTTCTGTGTATGGAACTAAAGTAAGAACTTTACCCGCATAACAGCTAAACGCACACCATTCCCAGTAGGTAATTACCCACCGAGATGCCATTCATGTTACACAGTGAATACACCATCGTTCTGGACACCGTTTTACAATTATTAATGTACCAATAAGAGGACATTCCTAAATGCCTTTTCATTATAATCAGGTTAACAAAAACAATAGCAACCACTACATTGTGGAAAAAGCAATACCAGTCTCAATATCAGTATCAGGGCCTTCATATATCTGATTCTGAAACGACAACGGACCCACACTCTCATAGTGCCCATACTTGTTCTCATCCTTAACCCAATCTGTTGTATAGCAGTGAACCAATTCATTGAGGTGCGGCCATTGCTCCAAATTTTCGTCAAACTGCATTCCCGGGTAAAACAATAAAATAAAATAAAATGTTCACAAAATGCCCAAACCCACATTGGGTACTTTACTCAAACACATGGAGAGCCAAAAGGAAACACATTGTACCTTGTTCTGCCACCGAGTGGTGGCGGGAGTAGAATCCCGCCGTGGGCGAAGATGAAGCATCGCAGATCTAGGGTTTTACTTGACTCGTGGTTCTGCACTTCCAATTGAAGAAGACGACTAATGGGTCTCCTTCAAATGCTAGATTTCCCTACAATTTCCAACCTCTTCTGGATCTAGAAGCAGAATAGAAAGCATTTGCAAAGACAAGAGCTTCAGAGAGGAAAACACAGGCGAAAAGAGAGGAAGCAGAAACGAATGCAGCAGAATGAGTAGAGCCCAGCACAGTAAACAAGTCAAAAGAAGTCCAAAGAGAGAAAACGCCAAACGAAAGTTCATATGAGCACAGATGCTGTTGTGCTGTGTGCCTCTGTAATCGGACCCCATGTATTAGTATTGCGAAACACTAAATATTATATTTTTAGTGAGATTTTCATTTTCTTTTGCAATCTCTCTTTCTTCCAGCTCTTTTCAGCAGCTTTTTTGGCTTCTAAGAAAAGCAATTATGGTGCTCTTGCCTTTTAACTAATTTTTTTCACAATAATCTTATTTTAATTTTTGTGTCTCCAACCAATACTGCTTCATCTACCTGCGAAAAGATTGGTCCAGCACAAACAAATTATTTCCTTTATGATTAATTAAAGATAGGAGGCATTAATTTAATAGTATCAGAGCAAATTCCACTTTTGTTTTCTATAGGCTATTATCACAAAGCAAACATCTATTCAATAAGAAAAGTAGGCATGAATTATTTATTACCCTTAATATAATGTTTAATTTGAGAGTTAATATTAATCTTATATATAAGATTTATTTTATATATTTATCAATTTTTTTAAATTAATTTTATTGATATTCTCTCAACAATAATCAAATAAGAGATAAAAGAAGAGAATTAAGAAAGATAATTAGGATGTTTTACCAAAAAAAATATATCATATTAATTAATTTAACCAACATCTTTAGTGTACTCAAATTAGTTAATTAAATGTTACATTAAGGACCATATGAGTATTTAATTTAAATAAGAATGACCATCTTTAGGTGCATTGTTGAATTTTAAATGCTACAATACAAAGTTGATAAATTATGCAACAAAATATTTAAATTAATTTCTTCATAATACATTGGTTATGTTATACAGATCAAAATCAGCACAGGCAAATATGGGCTGCTTCTGCGCTAGGAAAGTTATCTTAAAGGCAATAATAGAGGATTTACATTATTTCATCTCAAAGTGTTTTTTCCTCTTCTATTTCTTTATGTTTATTTATTTCGTCTGTTGCTGCATAGGGACATGTTTTCTTTTCATTACTTCTGTTATATATTTTTTTGAAAAAAAATAAATGCTATTTCTATTTAATTTTCACTCCCAAAAATTGTTTTTTAAAATTTTATTTTCAGTTGAAAAATTAAGCGCATAAAATATATATTATAAAATGTATGTTTATTAAAATTTGCTTTTTATTAATACTATCCAAACAAGTTTTATCCAAATATAAATTATGTTAATGCTCTAATAACTTTTTATTTTCTTAAACTTCAGCTCATAAACTCTAATTTGAGCAAATGAAATGTTATAAGTCTTAAAATTTAATCACACACTAGATATTTTTTCACATTCTCAGGGTAATAGGGAAATAAATTGTTCAACAACGCGGGACGGTGATTATTCAATGTGTCGGACAAAAACTAAGGTACATACGAGAGAAACTTCCATTAGAATAAGAATAAGAATAAGAATATAATAAAATCACCAAGTACAAGCTTTTTTTTTTTTAATTTTCTTTTTGCCAGCACCAAGGACGAGATTGAAGATAAACATTAATGAATCTTGGGGCCAAAACAATTTTTTTTTTTTTTTTAAAAAAAAGGTACTCTTCTGACGAGGTATCGTGTGTTCAACTCAAAATGCATTAATATTTTTTCACCCACATATTTTTGAATTTATCTGAATTTTTAGTTGTGAGGCAGGCCTTGATAATGTATTAGTATTACTCTTCCTTTTCAGTATTCAAGTCATAATGATTATTTTATTATTATCATTATTTTGCTAATTTATATTCTTTTTAAGGTAAAAGATGTCCTATAACTAGATTGACTTTGCCTAGGATAAAGATTAGCAAAAATCATATTTATTTTGACCAAATGATCATTATATCTATTAATTCTGTAATCTATAAATATCAAATATGCACTTGAATTTTTTTTGAAAATATTAAAATGCTTATTGTTATAGATTTAGATTCACTAATTTTATAAAATTCAACCAAAAATAAAATCAAATTAAAATGGTCTATGTATAATTATACATATTTGTAATATTTAATAACAATTAATACTATTTTGTCGGTTAAATAAGAATTCAAATATATTATAAATTACATTTCTATGTTTTTTTATAATAAAAAATGTATACCTTAAGTAGGTGACAGAGATTGATCATGCAAGCAAGGTCCAATACCTAATTTCATGCCTCACAAAAACATGTATTTGTGTCCTATTCTTAATTTGAGAATTTTATTAGTAAATAAATTGTAACTATTTCTTATAAGCACTAGAATGAATACATGCTTTTAACTTTTTAAAAAGAAATTAAATTTTTTTTCACTTAAAAATGTGAGTGTTCCTATAAGCCAATAATAAAATAAATGACTTTGTAAAGGTTATTTTAATTTTTAAGCTTAACAAACTCTCTTGATTATAATTCAATTTTTTTCAAAAAAGAAAAGCATTTTAGAACTTAAATATGGGGTAGATTTATTGGATAGCAGTTATTAGGGGGTGGTTTATGTGTAGCTTTCTTAATATAAGGAACCGGTGAGTGATATGAAAGTGGTATGACCTAATGTTAACTTCACCATTTGAGCTAGACCACTGAACTGCACCTTTAATTAATATTCTTGTCCTATTTGCACTTGTCAAAGTCAACACATACCTACTCATTTTTCTCCCTTTTTAAGTATTTTTAATCACAATGTAATCAATCTAATATGAAAATTTAATTAACTCTATTCATGTTATTTCATCATATTATTATTCAAGCCATACTTATTCTGTCAGCCATATATATAAATATATATATATATATATATTGTAATTACTTATCTATCAAGTGATAAAAGTTATGTCCCTTTTATACATTTATTTGTTTCATTAAATGCTTCAAATTTATGACACCCTTGTTTTTTTGACCGGCCAAATTTATGACATCCTATTCATAGGAAAGCTAGCAAGTCACATCTCCTATATGATCCTAACTAATGTACTTTTGACAAGACCCAAATTTTTTTATGAGCTCAGTTAAATTTGCCGGTTGTTCTTCTAGAATTAATTAAATCCATTGATTTTGATCTTTGCTTTCTCCAAATATTTGGTTTTAAAATTCAGTTTTCTAGCTAGTTAAAGACGTGCAACAATTACCCACACAAAGATCTACCGTACATGTATAAAGCTATGGAATCATCAAAGAACAGGAAGGGATTAATGTGGACCATTCCTTATGAGAAATATTCTATTATGAAATCCTTTCACCCTTTATTTGTTTATTAATAAAATCACCTTTTTTCTCTTTTATTGATCTTAACTGTTAAAATTTTCCCAAAAATGCAAGTGCAAGACACCTATAAAGACGAAAAGGCATATATATATATATATATATAAAAGAAATTAAGTTAATTGATTAGCATATCCTCATTGCATAGCTTTACAGACAAGACAAGCAGCAATAGTAAGATTGAAGACATGATCCATCCAAGGAAGCTGTCATGCCATGATCTGGTCCTTCACACTTACAAGTTAAACCCCACATGTTTTTGTCTTTAGCTGACTCAGTAACAGTAAAAATACCTCAACCAATATATACATCCCACCAAACCAATTACCAAACAGAATGTTTTCTCTAATTAATCATTCAAGATTTGACTTCAGTTGAAATTCTCATGTTATATCAGCCTATAGGTATTTAGAGTATTCACTACTTTTCCACCACATAAGACCAAGACAGCATATCAGAAAAACCAGTAAATTACCTTTCTTGTTTTGAAAAGCTTTTTAATCACTATGAGCTACATATTAAAGGTCAATTCTTTTAGTAATACTTCTTGTTATGATTTATACTGTGAATACACATATATAAGATAGACAGCTTTTAATTTTAGAAACAGGATTCAAGACATCTCACTCAGCACTAAGAGCAAAAGAAAATAATAAGCTTATACTTAAATGTTCGCTTAGCTTTGCAGCAACTCGTCATGATCTCGATGGATAAGTTAAGTTTAATGTAGAAATCCTGGGTGTTAGTAGTATGCTGCCTGCGTTTGTTAGTTAGCTTCTGTTATAAGTAGTTAGCATTGTTAGAAGTTAGTTAGATAGACTTAGATCTGATGGATAAGTTTCACTTGGTGTAGAGTCTAAGTGCACAGCACTATGTTTGAGCAAGTAAAGAATACTGATTTATATATATTCTTCTTACTCTGCCTTCTTCTACAACATGTCAATTCTTTTTTTTCTCTATGGCTATCTGACTAAGTTAGATTCGAGCATTGTCGTGTCTAATTAGGAGTAGCTCTCCCAAAAGCGAGCAACATATGCTTCTACATATTTGACATTGAAAAGCCTTCTATATGTTCACTATGTTCTGTGGTAATTGATGATCACTCCACATTGTACAAAAATGGATGTTTTTGGTGTTACTTCTCATAGTGGAAGCGCTTTTAATTTGCTTCAACGTGAATAATGAGTTTCCTTGTTCTATCTCATATGAGAACTTTCATGGTTGAAGCTTATATTGAACCTGCCAAGTTGCAGGTATCAAAGTATGTATATATTAATAGTTGTTGGTCGTCTTCTTTTTCTCTGTAATATTATGTACTAATATTTCATTTTAATACTATTGATCATTTTACCAAAAACAAATATCAAAGTATGCTTTTAAAGGTTGGTTTTGCCTTCCACCTGGTTCAAGCACCATAATGAAATAAAGATGAAGAAAGAAAATAAATTTAGTGGTTTGGAGACGCATTAGCCGAGAGTTAGATTGATGAGCATGATGATTTCTTCCTCATTTTATTATCCATCAACATCATACAATTCACTCCTTTGATATATTGAAATACTCTCTATATTACCCCTCGTCTTTGGGTTCAGATGGCAAAGGGGTCGGACATTTTCACAACATGGAGGGGGTTCAATGCTAGAGTTAGTTGAGGCACTAGGGGAGGCATGTTCACAGTTTAGTGAAACTAAGGGATTCCTACCAATTGGGTCAGATAAAAAAAGGCTTGCTTGTCATGCTTCCGTACTCGTAGGGACAAGCCCCAGTAGATCATGAGTTAGTTTCCCTACCCTTGGATCATAGGTAAGCCCGA